GGTTCTCGCTCATTTTCCGGTTGAGAAGGTATATACAATTTATCTGTGCATTAAATATAAGGAAAAAATTAAGAGGCAGGACTTCTATACTTATTTTAAATGTGGTTCCTATTGTAAACGTATCAAAGTGGTCTTGAAATTAATATTCCAAACCCAAATTGTAATTGAGATTTATTTGGAGTTTACTTAAATTTTTTTTAAAACTGCCCCAAACAGTTTTTTTCGGAATTTACACTAGCTGGCAGAGTTGTTAGAACCATTTTAAAATTCTAATCTTGTGCTAGATTAGCATTGTTACCTTGAACTCATCAGTGCATCTATTGCCGTTCCTGGATATCTATTATGTGGCATATTCATAATTTTGTTGACATAATTAAGAGTAGCGTGTATTCGAACTAAGAAATAAGTACAATTATCACTTTTAACATTTCTTTTAAATAATACTATAATTTTTTATACCTCAAAAATATTTTCACAAATTTATTATAACCCTTCTTCTTATTTAAAGACGCAGATGATTTTGAATTTTTCAGAAGTTGCAATAGCCTTATTAAAGATATTTATGATTATCCATTATTTCTCATATATTTACAATATATTTTTCTTTTTGTTAATATATTATATATATGTCTTATTAAGGTAAAATTAAAATTGAATATCCTATTCTAATAGGATATAAACATAATACAGATGGCCAACACTTTAATAAAATATTTTGTATTTATATAAGGGTATTAAATAGTCAATTTTTTTGGCTTAGAAAAAAAATTAGTATCACTGTTAAATAAAAATAGATTCAGATGTTTATCCGCTCTAAGAACTGTCATTATTTTAATAACTACTACAGTTTGATAAACTGCATTTTGTTTCTTTAATTTCTCACTAATTTCGAGATATAAGAGTGTATTTTACGAATAGTGCATTCAATGTTGACTTTAAATGTTTTTTTTTTCTAGAACACGCCACATTAACTAGTCTAGCGATGCCTAATCTCAAGATTTCGATAGATGGCCTGTTGAAAATTACGTTGCTCTCGTACCTTTGCTGGAATAAGAAAATAAAGGCTGTAGAATTTGTTACCAAAACCTTTCAACGACTATGGTTATGCATTTTTGGAAACATAGCTCAATATCAGACGCGGTGACACTTGAAGTATGAATTTTATGAGGCTTTATGACTTGATAATATTATTACCCGATAAGCTAAACCAAACAAAGGCATTTACCATTTAGCATTCCCGTTTGTGTTTCTGAATGTATCTCTGAAAGTGTTTTTCATTAAAAAATTCATCCGTATCTATATTGATGACATAGGTAATTAGTTTTGGCAGTGATTAGCAGTATTCTGATAAGAATTTGTGTTGTTTGGTTTTCTTACAATTGCGAAAGTTGAAAATATGAACAAATGCTATTGTTAAACAACACAATATCGAAATGTAAATCTAAGATATACTAAAAACACGACATTACTTGTTTTTTCACTCATCCTTTCTACTTGCTAAAATAATCAACAGTAAACAAAGCGAAATTCAAACACCTTCGGAAGATACGATTTGAGAATTATTCAATAGATCCAGTAAAGAATGATTACACATATGGATTCAATAATTATACATTTTTATTACACTTATATGTTATAAATTATTGTTATATTGAATTATATATACACTATTATATTATTACCGAATTTAAATTTCAGCTGTCGTTTATATTTTACTATATTTAAATAAGAAATGTAGGCCACCTTATAGTTCTACCCAAAAATAATCTATAACTACTGCTACTAGAAATAAATTATGCTTTAAATGTACAAATAAATTATATTTTAAAAATAAATTATAAATACATTTGCCACATCCTGGGTTACAAAAAAAATCAAAAATGTGTAAAAGCATAAAATAAAATGAGTGCAATTAAATTGAAATAAAAAATCACTTATGTATGCAAAATCAAGTGCTAAAATTTGAATTATAATATGCAGGCATAAACATAAAAAATTTGAATATATACGAGAGTGAAAAATATAAAGCAGGAGGCATCTACATATATCTAACATATACCAAACGAAGCATTTTCAAGCGGCACCGAAATAAAAACCTGATAGGATATGTAATGCTAAAATAAAACACTTAAACAGTCAAAAACGCAGCAGGAGCAGCCATAAGGCAACAGCAGTGATGGTGGCAGTGGTGGTAACGGTGACGGTGGCGGCGGTGTTTTTAATACTGACGGTGGTGGGTACATACAGTGCATATATGCATTTACGCACAGTATAAGGCCCTACTCAAACAGCTGTTTTTAAATGCACAATACCAAAAGCAGACCACAAATATGAAAACTAAAAATAAAAATTAAAACAAAATTCAGCCGTTACAATGGCATAGCTGTTCAGATACAGGATATCACATGAAATTTTTATGGTAATATTCGTTATATTATCGATCGATTCAACTCTGGTACACAGACACATTCCATTTTAGCAACAATATCTTTGAGCTGAGGGTGGAATTAGTGTATGCATAAACACTGCACTGCGGTGAGGCATAAGCGATAAGTGCTAACGATGTCCCGTACCAAAAGAAAGGATACGTGGCACATTGACAATAGATAAACCAGCATATAAGCTGAATATATGATTATTTGTGCATGCATATGCATTAGCAACAACAAGAATATCTGAACACTGACGTGCTGGTGAACAATGAATCTCATTCTATGCTGTCTCGAAAGCAAAA